GGAAACGGACTTAAATGTAAAAGAAAACATATTGACTTCTATAGTAGAAAAGTCTGGGATGAGAACTGGGTTCAAATTATTTTGGGCCCTGGATTCAGGGATTCAATGGATATCATCAGAAAATGTTGGCTGGTCAGGCCTGGGGCATTTGACCTTACCAGAGGACTGTGTGTATGTAAATATACGTGTGTGTGTGTGTGTGTGTGTGTGTGTGTGTGTGTGTGTGTAACCACACAGACCGAGAGTCCAGGAGGCATAATTTCTAAAAGGGAAATCACAGTGCAATACTGTGAAGAAAGAGAAAGGAATCTGGGCAGATAAAACACACCAGTGGACATTATGACCTCTCTGGCCTGTTCTACAAAGAATAGGAATTTTCAATGTGATAACCTGAAAACAAAGATAAAAGCTCAGGAGGCGTTTACTGCACTCATTTCATTCGTCTCCATACACTACATAGACATGTATTGTGTTAGTGGAGATTAGAGTAGGCCCCACCCAATGTGGAGGTTAAATGGAATAATGCATGTGAAGTGCTTCTACTGCCTATCACGTAGTAAGCACCTAATACACGCTACTACCATTACCAGGTACAATGCAAGGCATGCTGGATACCCAGAGAAAAAGGCAGTTCAGCCACTGCCCTCACAAAGCACATGGTCATACCAGAAAGTTAAGGAAAGGATGGCTTATGTGAGTCAGCAGTGAATTTGGCTCTGAGTTTCCTTTTTAAAATTATTTATTTGCTTGTTTGTTTATTTTTAATGATTTTAGGGAGAGAGGAAGGGAGAGGGAGAGGGAGATAGAAACATTGATGAGAAACATCAATCGGCTGCCTCTTGCACGCCCTGCACTCGGGATCGAGCCTGAAACTCGGGCTTGTGCCCTGACCAGGAATCAAACCGGTGACATCGGGTTCCTGGGTCGACGCTCAACCACTGAGCCACACCGGCTGAGCTGCTTTGAGCTTCCTTTTGTCCCCTAGGCAAAAATGGAACCCTGGGTGACTCAGAGTTGTTCTTGTCTAATTGAAGGATGCTCAGCTTTTTATCAGCCAGGCAAAGGGGAAAGTATTTTTTGTGAAAACATTCCAGAAGGGCACATTGAGCAGTCACAAAGGAGAATGCCTCTAAGGCAGCAGTTCTCAACCTGTGGGTCTCGACCCCTTTGGCGGTCGAACGACCCTTTCACAGGGGTCGCCTAAGACCATCCTGCATATCAGATATTTACATTACGATTCATAACAGTAGCAACATTACAGTTATGAAGTAGCATCAAAAATAATTTTATGGTTGGGTCACAACATGAGGAACTGTATTTAAAGGGCCAGAAGGTTGAGAACCACTGCTCTAAGGGATGTTTTAAAGAAAGAAGGAGAAACTACCAGGCCCAGAAAAAAAAGAGAGGCCAGAATATTAAATTATTGTTCATTGAAGGCATTTGCTATGGGGAGCTAAAGAAATATGATCCAGCTTTTAAAAAGTAATCTTTTTTGTGATTATAAGAATGATGCATATTCATTATAGAACAATTTTAGAATGCAGAAAAACATAAAAATTAAATAATCAGAAATAATCTACTGCTCAGAGGTAACCATTGTTAACATTATAGCATATTTCTTTCTGCTTATTGCTTATGTGTGAGCATGTGCATACACACATTGTTGTGTATAGAACTGGCATTATGCTGTATAGATTTGTACTCTGTTTTTTTATTAACAATATAATGTTGTCATTGTCTTTTATTGTTAAATATCCTCTGAAGATGTGGTTTTGGGTGGCCATGTAGCATTTCTTCATGCAGCCATGCTACGTTTTATTTAACCATTTCTTGTTGGACGTTGAAATTGTCAATAGACTTTTGCTATTATAAATAATGTTGCAAAGAAAAATTTTTACCACAAGCCTCCTTTAGGATATTTCTGATTATTGTCTTAGATGAGAAGTTCTTAGATATAGTAATATGGCATCAAAGAGAAGAGGAACATTTTAAGGCTCTGAGTGTGTGTTGCCAAAGTGGTATGCAGCGTTCTTGTGACTTAAGGGGACTCAAATAGAGAACCCACCTAGACAAGTGAGAAAAGAGGCTTTGGGTTGTCACAGACCAATGGAAACAAAAAACAAAAACTCTGAGGAGGGGCTGACATCCTGTCCCAACTCTATTCGGTCCAGCAGAGCTTTTTCTGTCCTCCTGCTTATTATTATGAGAAGAAATAAATTTTAATCCAGAACAATAGGGATGTGATTTTAGACTAAAGGACAGTTCTTTAAATTGCATCAACTTGATTTTCGAAAACCTCACTCTCTCTCTCCCTCTCTCCCTAAAATTAATAAAAACATATCCTTGGGTCAGGATTAAATAAAAAAAATAAATTAAAAAAGCAGGCACATCCCATGCTGGAAAGTTTATACTGGCTGTAGTGGGAGACCTCAGTCTCTCGCTCCATACACCTCTCCATAGGCTCAGAGCAGCTCCATCCTCACTGCATGGCGGCTGGCCTTCCTCAGAATAGATGGTCCATGGAAGGGAACAATATGAAAATCTCACTGTCCCATGACCTGGTCTTGACCTATGTCCTCTTCACCCCATCCCTAGCACCCGCCTGGCCGGGTACACACACAGTCAACAGTCGGTTCTCCATTCCTGAAGTTGTGTTGTATTTGCAGGTGCAAAGAAAAGAAATACGATTATGATCAATTGCCCACAACATCTATTATCATCGCATTTTATAATGAAGCCTGGTCAACTCTCCTTCGGACAGTTTACAGTGTCCTCGAGACGTCCCCAGACATCCTGCTAGAAGAAGTTATCCTGGTAGATGACTACAGTGATAGAGGTAAGCCCCCGACATGGGCTCTTGGTGGGGCCTAGCTTTCCATGGCAGTGCCTGGGAGGTGAGAATGTGATAAGGCCTGGTAAGGACAGGCCTCCTGCATCCCCCTGTGTCCAGCTCCTGGTCTTAGGGAGCTCAGAGCCTGGAGGAGGGACACAGATGTAGTGACTGAGGGTTCTACCACATGGTGCTCCAGGAAACATGGGAAAGGGACTCACTGTGCTGGGTGCTCAGGATGGGTGGTAGCCTCAAAGGTTGAATAGTTTGTGGACAGCAAAGGAGGAGGGAGGGTGTTTCAAGTGGAGGGCATAGATGTGGAAAGGCTGGAGGTGCAGCTCCGTGTGGATTGTGTAGGACCTGCCAGTGGTTCAGGAAGGATGGAGGGCCAGCTGCTTGGGGAGAAGTAGGGAGAGGCAGGGAGAAGAGGTGGAGAAGGGTGCAGTGAGAACACAAGGCCAAGGAGCTGGGACTTTGTTCTAAGGGCAGGGAGAGCCATGGCAGGGTTTTAAGCAGGAGAGCTGTTGGGGAGAATCCCTCTGGGCTGGACTGTGGAGAATGGTGTACAGAGGAGCTGGGTCAGGAGGCCAGGGGCTATAGGGGTGGCCCAGGCGAGAAATGGAGACTTGGAGTCAGGTGGTGGCAGAGGAAAAGGAGGGAGGTGGGACTAGGGGTGTTCGAGTGGTGGCATCCACAGGGCCGGGGACTGGCTGAGGTGCAAGGAGGACCCATGGGCTTCTGGCATGGGTCCCCGGGTGAATGGTGGTGCCATCTTAGAGCTGGACAAGCCACCCAGGACAGGAGGAATGGGTCTGGGAGAGGAAAGGGTTGTTTGGTTTTGGATGTGTTGAGTTTGAGATCAAAGGGGACAGCCCAGACGAAAGAACTGAAGCCAGGGAGAGGTGTTCCATGGACAGGGTGGTCAGCGTCCCTGCAGGCCTGACCAGTGACCTAGGATCCGGCAATTCACATGCAGCCCAGGGCTGGTCCTTCATTATTCAGGGAACAGTTTTTGAGTTTCTACAGTGTGCTGGGTGCTGTTCTAGGCACTGGGGATCCCTGGGCAGCAAGACAAGTCCCTGCTCACTTGTCTTTCTCTGAGCCTGTTTCTCATGGGTGAATGGATTTATCTATACCTGCCTCAGGGTTGTGGTGAGGAGTAAATGAGATCAGGGATCTATGCACATGTACAGGACAGACCTTCATGTAGCGGCAGCACGGAGGAGGCACTCATCTCCATTTCCTTTTGTTCCTTCTCCCCGTCTGTGTGGACACTGTTCTGGCTCATACTGCATGGGCTTGGATCCACTCCAACACTTCGCAGCCATGCAGCCTTGAGCAAGGAGCTGAACCAGTTTCAACCTTGGCTTCAGCCCCTGTTTTAAAATACATTAATGTAATTCATTAACATAGATAAAATAAAATAATAATATTTCCTACCTTGTAGGGTTGTTGCAAGGGTTAAATGAGATAAAGCAAGGTACCAGTGCCAGGTATAGTGTTGGCACTTGTTAAATGATAACTTCTGTTTTTATGCAATACTAAACTAGAAAGTGCCGAAAATATTTCAGCAATGTCTTTATTCAGAAGCAAATAGCAGATTTAAAATGTTATCTTTAGGGCACTCACTAGGATTGATGGGATTCTGTGGCAGGCAGGAGCACGGTCCGAACCCTTCCAGCACAGCTCAGTTCCCTCATAAACGTGCTGCAGGCCCACAGCTTCCCTTTCCCATCCTGATAACCTGTAAAGCAGGTGAGATGCTCACTCAACCCATAATGGAGGCGAGAGTCCTGCCTGCCTCCTCCCGCCCTACGTGCACGGTCAGTCTGAGCTCCAAGAGGCTGACACCCCTCGAGGGTGTGGGAAGACAGTTCAGCAGACAGAAGATTAAAGCTGACCAAATCCACAATGAGTGCAGGAGGCCACAGGTGCACTTTTTGGGGTATTCACTGGGCACTGTCATAAGTTACCTTTGTGTGGGAAGTCCTCTGCCTTGCGCCTACCATCAACTTACTTGCAGTTATATTTGGAGTGGCAAGAATATTTTCACAAACTATGAAGCAACCTAGACCATTTTATAAAAATTTCCCCTTTCTTGATGATTGAAGACTTTGAGACAATGCCCATTTGATGTAGAGAAATTCTCTCATTTTTATTTTGCCCCAGGCGTACCCACCAGCCTCCACCTGACCACTGAGGGGTGTGAGTGGGGGCCTCCAGCCCTAGAGCCTATGAATGGAGTCGGGGGTCTGGGGTCAGCACTAGCTGTGGGCACATCCTTTCAACTTTTAAGGACTCATTTCCTCTTTAGCAAAAGAGGATGTTCTCCTGACAAGTTGTAGATTTCTTTAATAAAGTTCAGAAGGTGCACAAGAAAGCTCTGGGAGGCAGTGTTAAGCCTGTGGACTCAAGGAGGCAGAGTCCATGGGTTTAAATCATGGGCCCTCAGCTCACGTGCTCTGTGACCCTGACCTTGACAAGTTCCTTAGCCTCTCTGGCCTTAGTGTTCTCATCTATAAAATGGGAGTAATAGTGGTACCTACCTTGTAGGATTGTTGTGAGAATCATGTAAATCACTTAGCAATGAGCACAGTCGGCCCTCTCAGGCTAGCTGCCATTGTTATGACTACTATTACTGTGTCAACTGAAATATGCTACTGAAAAAATTTACATTAACAGAACTATCATAACATATAATAAAATTTGCATTAATATAACCATAATAATATAGCTATAATAAAAAATTTATATTAAAACTAGAGGCCCGATGCATGAAATTTGTGCAAGAGTAGGCCTTCCTTCCCCCGGCTGCCGGCACCAGCTTCCCTCTGGTACCTGGCATCCGGGCTTCCCTCGCAGCCCTGGCTTCGTCCAAAAGGATTTCTGGTCTAATTAGCATATTATGCTTTTATTAGTATAGATTATTCCATATAAATTAAAAATTTATAGCATATTGCATAATTAATTAACATAAATTAACAAATTTATATTAACACAATTTTTCAGAAAAATTGTGGTCAGATGGTTCTTGAGCTTTTTATTTTTAAATGTTCATAAGTCAAGGTGTAATGTATTTTGGGGGTAACAGTTTTATTGAGATATATCTGCATACATGTCACCCATTTTAGGCATTTGGTGGTTCTGGAATTCCTCCCCCCCAGTCTCCCCTGGCCTTTGGGGTGCTTGCAGCCTTGGTTCTGGGTGAGATGAGCATGTTCCAGGTGGCAGAGCAAAGGAGGCTTATGTCTGTTTAGTTTTCTTTTGGGGACAGGGTGGCCCTGGAAGGACCTGGCTTGGGCTGTGTGTCCCTCATTGTCCCACTTCCTCCCCAGAGCACCTGAAGGAACGCCTGGAAAATGAGCTGTCAAAGCTGCCCAAGGTGCGCCTGATCCGCGCCAACAAGAGGGAGGGCCTGGTGCGAGCCCGGCTGCTGGGGGCTTCCGTGGCAAAGGGCCAAGTGCTGACCTTCCTGGACTGCCACTGTGAGTGCCACGAGGGGTGGCTGGAGCCACTGCTGCAGAGGTACGTGAGCCGTCCGCGTGGGGAGGGTCCCAATACTACACAGAAGCAAAAACAGACTGATCACCACGTGTGAGCGGTCATGGGGCGCCTGGGTTCAGTGGCTCCTTGGACAAGTCCTTTGTCACTGGACAGTGTCTCTCTCAGATGGTCCTAACCAGGAACATAGCCCATTCTTTCCATGGGCTTTTGGTAATAGATGTTCTCGGTTGCCATGTCCAGCGGGTAGTGCTCCTGGCATTTTGTGAGCTGGGAACCAGGGATGCCAAACATCTGCAGTGTGTGCAGCCTGCACAGCAAAGGATGGTTCTGCCCAGATGCCAGGAGTGAGTGCCTCTGTGGGCACTCTGCTACTCGGCCTGCACGCTCCATAACCATGACTCAGAGTCCACTCCAGTGCTGACTCCCCAGTTTTCTCTTTCTTGTAAAATTTAGGCTACCCATGGTTCCAACCAGCTTGATCACAAGTCACAAATTCTTGGGGTCTTTGCTAGCGACTATGCAGCATCTTTGAACCTGCCCAGCAGGTCTGCCTTGTCCCTCTCACCCCTTTTAATAATGCCCTCAATTTATTTAAAGAATTGGGCATTGGTAGTACTCACTCTGCAATTTCCTGAATTTAGTGAACTCAGAAGCTTGATTTTTTGTCTCACATAATCCATCCTGAATAGTGCGATTGTCCCCAAACTTGTAATTCTTACCTCAGTGTCATTCATAATGTCATTCATTTCTGGTGTTATTCTAAAAACCCTTATAGCTCAAGTTTGGTGGATCTCTGTTTCTTCTCACCATTGTTTTGTGTGACTAATGATTTTTAGGTATCAGATTCCAGATAAAAGACCCCAGAACGTAACCCAGAGAAATCTAGTGTTCACACATGGTCCAGTCTCAGCTCATCTTTCCTCATGTGCTATCAAATGCAAAAAAACACAGTCTAGCAGCAAGCCAAAGGATGGTTGGGCTTATAATAATGATTGTGGAGGAACTAGCTAAAGCATACACACAGGCTGATGCCTGCAACAGAAAATCATAGTGTTTCCCACTGTGTGTAATGTTTCACAATAATAAAAACGAAAAGAAAAGAATAGCAGTTGTTCTAGGTTCTCTGCCAGCCATCTCACGGACATTCCCATGTTAACTCTATGTGTATATACAGGGTGGGCAAAAACAAGTTTACTGTTGTGAGTACGTGAAACACAGAGGTTATTCTTGTATTATTATTTATTAATTATTGTATCATTTTCCATACAAACAACTGTAAACCTACTTTGCTCACTCACATTGGGCCCTGAGAGGTGAGATGACGCAGCTAATGTTCACACAGTGAATAGGATTAGAATTTATATTCTAACTCCAAAGCTGGCCCTTTGGTCTGGGGGCATCTCTGCACAGGGAGATTATTATTTCTTGACATTTTATCCTTTTTTAAATATATAAATTTTAAAATATATTTTTATTGATTTCAGAGAGGAAGGGAGAGGGAGAGAGAAACATCAGTGATGAGAGAGAATCATTGATTGGCTACCTCCTGCAAGCCCCCTACTGGGGATCAAGCCTGCAACCCAGGCATGTGCCCTGACCGGGAATCGAACTGTGACCTCCTGGTTCATAGGTCGACGCTCAACCACTGAGCCAAGCTTAATGTTTTATGATTAATTGTGATTAAATGAAGGAACCTTTTGCAGTCTTGAGAAATTGAAAATCTGCTTTCTCTTTAAAAAAATTACCTTTGATTTTTTACACATCTTGACTTTCATAGAGGGAGTCATGGTTAGTGGGAATATCCATAGATAGAATCAGAACATTAAAGCTGTGGGATGTTTCATATTAAGGTCAGAATCCTTGCTCCCCGCTTTCCCCTAAACCCCCAAGGTGGTCTCCTGTCTGACATGGCTGCAGACACCTGGAATGAGAGAAGCAGGCCTTTCTCACATGGGTGTTCCTCCTTCCGAGTGGAAGGGTGAGGGGAGTTCATTCCCAGATTTCCTAATGGTCCTCCTGTACCCATCCACATGGAGAAACGGGGTGTCCTGGGTGCTTGCAGGATCCAGGAAGAGGAGTCGGCAGTGGTGTGCCCGGTGATTGATGTGATCGACTGGAACACCTTCGAGTACCTGGGGAACTCGGGAGAACCCCAGATCGGCGGTTTCGACTGGAGGCTGGTGTTCACGTGGCACGTGGTTCCTGAGAGGGAGAGGATGCGGATGCGGTCCCCTGTCGATGTCATCAGGTCAGGGGCGACTTCTTTGAGCGAGCCTCATTGCATCTGGCTAACATGTCAGTGAAGGCCCTTGGGAGGGATGGTTAGCTGTTGGGCCCCCCACCGTAGTTTACACATTTATCAGGCACAGAGTTAGGTACTTGCCTGTGGAGATGTCTGTGTGCTTCCCCCGGGCAGGGACTGTGGGGTGTGGCTGTGCTCCCAGGCCTAGCTTAGAGCTGGGCAGAGCCTGAGCTCAGGGTACTCTTTAGAGATGCATGACTGGACTGAAGGGCTTGTGGTGGGAAAGGAGTTCAAGTAGCAGTGGTTTCCTGCTGCCTGCATGGCAATATGGATCTCCTATGCTTCTAGGTCTCCAACAATGGCTGGTGGGCTGTTTGCTGTGAGTAAGAAATATTTTGAATATCTGGGGTCTTATGATACAGGAATGGAAGTTTGGGGCGGAGAAAACCTCGAATTCTCCTTTAGGGTAAGTATTCCAGTCTTCTCTTTGGGTTCATTCTTAACCTATTTTCTCTCTCTCTCTCTTTGGGAATGATGGGATTTTATGAGGTCCTGGTACACTTTCCCTCCACATTGGTAATTTATCCAGAAAGTCTGAAAGATGATAATGGCACATGCTTGCCTTCTTGTTTAAACTTTAAAAAATATCTACTTTTAAATAGATTTGGGGTAGGAAAGGGCCTTGCAGGCCACCTAGTTCTTTGCTCTCACTACAGCGGGAAGAGCTGGAGCCCAGAGAGGGGAAGTGACTTGCTCAGGAGTGAGTGGCAGAGACTAGACTAAAACTTGGTTCCTGCCTCCTGAGTCCATGTTTTGGAGACTTGATTTGCTTAACTGTTTATGAAGCGGCCTCTTTATTTAGCACAGCAACTTTCAAACCTGGACACATACAGAATTGGTGGGAAAACTCATTAAAAAGGCAGATTTACAGGCACCGTCTCCAGAAAGTCAGGCTTGATGGGTTTACTGTTGGGACCAGAAATGTGCCTTTTGTAATAAGCCCATCTGCCGATTCTGCTATCCACGACTCACAGATGAGGCCCCTTGGAGAAGCCCTAAGCTTTTCAGTGGGTTTTCCAGTTAACTAACCTTGCATTTTAAGCATCAAACCCTTATGTTAATGTAAACTTTTCAATAGAAAATTTAAATATTTTATATGGTTTCCTGCTTAAAAAGAGTTACCTAACGAACAAGAATTTGGCCTTCCACTGAGGACTTACCCCCCCCCCCCCCCCCCCCCCCCGCCAATCATTGGTCATACCTCCTATGGACAGTGGGGTGTCCATGGCGATTTGCCCAGCATGCAATGGCCCCCGACGACAGTTGAGTTGTAGAGTGGCTTTTAATGGTCTTTCTGCCTTTTCCCTAGGTGTCAGGCTGCTCTGCCTGCCTCTAGAAGCTCTTCCTTTCCCCCTCCCAAACCTCTCTTCTTACTTGCTGCTTTCCTATCTTCTGTGGCTAGCAGATCAGGTAATCAGCCTGCATTTTACATCCTGAGTGAATGGGTTCCCAGCGAGGTCAGCGATGGGTCCCGTCACGCATCAAGTGCATGAGATTTAGTGCATGGACGTGGGGTCTTGGTTCCAGGGCTTGTTTGTCTCGGGGCTGCTTTCGTACTCTGCCTGCATTCTGTGTTCTGAGGGTGCTGTGGAAGTGGCCTCCTGCCCGTGGCGGGTGAGAGTGTGGCAGTGTTCGTCATGACTTCTGTGCTCGGCCTCCTGGCCGCGGGCATTATGGGCCAGCACCTCATCCCCTGCTCACCTACCGCGGCCTCTCCTCTGCTCTGTGTGCAGATCTGGCAGTGCGGTGGGACCCTGGAGACACACCCGTGTTCTCACGTGGGCCACGTTTTCCCCAAGCAAGCTCCCTACTCCCGCAAAAAGGCCCTGGCCAACAGTGTCCGTGCAGCTGAAGTGTGGATGGATGAATTCAAAGAGCTCTACTACCACCGCAGTCCCCACGCCCGCTTGGTGAGTTCCTGCCCCCTGCACTCAGCCTCGCCTCATCTGAACAAAACCAGCTCATCTGGCCTCTGTACCATAGTGGACCATGTCCCAGAAATAGAAAATAAATTGGGTGCTCATGTTACAGTATGGGACAATTTTATTCCTTCACTTATAATTTACAGTTGATTCTCGTTATTTGCAGTAATTATGTTCTATAGTCACCATACACACTGAATTTGGGAACACTGAGTCATCACCCTTGGGGGAAATACAGGATTAGGTTCATGGAAGCCTCCAGCAGGTTGACATTTTTGTCAACCGATCAATACATAACCATGCTTTTATGTGTGTTTCATCTTATTTAATATATTGTTGGTTCATTACATGGGACTCATAGCCAATAGTACTGTCACTTATGCATGAAAAAAGGTTATTAAGCACACAAAATTTCCCCGTCAGGCACCTCACAGCCTGCTTACACTGAGGAGCATTCCACGGCACTTCAGCGCTACGCTCAGGGGCCATTTCCAATGGTGAACTCCCCAGCGCAAAGCACAAAAATCTGAAAGATGTGACATTGAAAGGAGCATGAAAAGGGCGCTTGTTTACAGTGTGAGAGCCTAGAACATGCACATTGGGTGACTCACAATTTTCCCTGCCCTGTGTATGTCCTCGAATGACAGAAGCCGGAGAACACTAGTTGATCTTAGGGCTACAAGCAAATTTTAACAAATAGGTCCACTGCCCTTGCACAGCCCAGCTCTGCACACCCCAGGACAGGGGCCCACTGACCCTCATTCCCATAATTAAGAGGGCTGCTTGGCTAGACAAGAAGGTCTGCTCCAAGACCTCTTTCCTGGCCACTTGAAAATCTCTTCTGATTCCTCACAGCAGCCCTTCAGGCTGGCTCTGAATTTTTCATTTTATAGAAATGAGGAGCCGAAACCGGTTTGGCTCAGTGGATAGAGTGTCGGCCTGCGGACTGAAAGGTCCCGGGTTCGATTCCGGTCAAGGGCATGTATCTGGGTTGCGGGCACCTCCCCAGTAGGAGATGTGCATGAGGCAGCTGATCGATGTTTCTCTCTCATCGATGTTTCTAGCTCTCTATCTCTCTCCCTTCCTCTCTGTAATAAATCAATAAAATATATATTAAAAAATATATATATATAAAAAAAAGAAAAAAAAAAAGAAATGAGGAGCCCTAGCTGGTTTGGCTCAGTGGATGGAGCGTCGGCCTGCGGACTGAAGGGTCCCGGGTTCGATTCCAGCCAAGGGCACATGCCTGGGTTGTGGGCTTGATCCCCAGTGGGGGATGTGCAGGAGGCAGCCGATCAATGATTCTCTCTCATCATTGATGTTTCTATCTCTCTCTCCCTCTCCCTTCCTCTCTGAAATCAATAAAAATAAAAATAAAATTAAAAAAAAAAAAAGAAATGAGGAGAAAACTGAAACTCAGAGAGAGCTTGAGTTAAGGAACTTGCCCCAGGCCTCAGAGCTGATGCGGGAAGAATTGGGCCTGGGGTGTGCACACTCTAGTGGACCTCTCTCTGGTCTGCAGAGCCCTGAGCTCCCTGGGCTTCTCTCTGCCTCTGGGTTCCAGGCTCATTGCTTCCTCCATCTTGCCCAAGGTAGAGAAACATCGATTAGTTTCCTCCGATTTTCCTCTGATTTGCACCCAGACCAGGGCTGGTATCGAGCCTGCAACTGAAGTATGCACCCCTAACCAGGAATCAGACCCGCAACCCTTTGGTCCATGGCTGATGCTCTAATTACTGAGCCAAACTGGCCAGGGCAGAAAGTTCTTAATCAGTGGTTTTGTCCAGAACACTAAACTTCCACTAGTATTTATTATTGTAGCATTCTGCTTTTGTCATCATCTATATATATAAAAGCCAAGCAACTGGAACGCCGGAATGACTGGTCACTGTGACGCATACTGCGTTGGCCAACTGGCCTGATTGGGGTCCCAATCGCCCCCCCCCCCAACCTCTTGTATCCCCTCCCCCACGGCCTGGCCCCAAATGGCCTGGCCCCAATCGGCCCCCATTGGGCGGGTGGGCGGACCCTACCCATGCACGAATTTTTGCACTGGGGCTCTAATAAGTATATATTTAGACTTCAATACACTGAGCACATAAGGTTTTCATTCATGATTACAGCTAGAATACTTACCTGTGTTTGAAAGTGACTGTCAGATATGAGTAGTAAATTGGAATGTCATTGTGTATGATCGTTGCTGACATTTTGCTGGTCTGCGATCACACGTTCATCATTGATTTGCTGGCCCAGGGGTCCAATGCAGCCCCAGGGCTTGGCTTCCTCATCCCACCAGCAGGTGCTTTGTGTCCTTCCCTGTGCACCTGGTTGCACCTCCCTGTCGCAAGAGCACCTGGGAATGTAGTTGTGTGACAGTCTCTCCTGCTGGTGTGCTCCACTATGTCTGAGGCTGTTTTTGGTACTCTGTGCCCTGCACAGGGCCCGGCACACATTAGGTGCTCAATAAAAGCTTAGTGAATGAGTGGGCCACAGTGGAGAGCAGGGCTTTGATAGGAAGTGCCGTCACCTTCAGCGGCTCACTGTTTTGTTCTTTTCTCAGGAGCCCTTTGGGGACGTGACAGAGAGGAAGCAGCTTCGCGCCAAGCTTCAGTGTAAGGACTTCAAGTGGTTCCTGGAGACCGTGTATCCAGAACTGCACGTGCCTGAGGACAGGCCTGGCTTCTTCGGGATGGTGAGCGAGGCGGCCCATGCTGGGCAGGGAGTTCTGGCCCCCAGGTCTGATCAACAAACCCTGGGCCAGAAAGGCCCCTTTGTGGGGACCACGGCCAAACTCCTCTCCCTTTTCATCCACTGTTCTTCCTTCTCCCTGTGAGGGTTTGGGACTCAGGTCCAGACTGTCAGTCCTGGGCGCCATCTCGAAATTGATGAGTATAAGCCTCCCATTTTATTGATGAGGAAACTGAGGCTCATTTGGTGTTTCCATGTCGGAGTCTTTACCAGCACCTTGTAACATTATTTCAAATCTCAGTGGCCAGATCAGTTAATTACCAACTCCGGGATCCACAAAGGCAGTGGTGGGGAGGGGAGCGTCACTTCTCTTATTTCAAGAAACCTAAAAGAAATGTTCCTGGGGTGAGGCCAGCTAAAATGTCTGGTGCCTTTGGCTTTTGCTAGGAATTGCACTGAATTAGCAAGGGAGGGCTCCTGGCCATGTTGATCAGAAGTGCTGGTGTTCCCCTGAAAGTCTTTGATAAACACCAAGCAGGATATTCATGCATTAAATTCAGTTTCCTTATGAATTTATACCGGAGAGATGGTATCATGAACCCTGTCCCCGAGATTCTTGAATTATCAACATTTTGCTTTTCTTGCTTTCCCTCTCCTCTGCTCCACTCTCCCATATTTTTCTTTTTTCAAGGAAACCCCAGACATTGTGTCATTTTACTCCTATACACTTCAGCATGAATCTTAGTAAAACGTGGACATCATCCTACAAAACCACAGACCGTTACCACCCCTAACCAAGTGAACAACAATTTCTTGGTGTCATTTAACATCCATCCCTTATCCAGATTCCCCCAGATTTTCAAATTTCTCTTGGAGTATTTGGCAAGTTCCCTTTGGGATCCAAACAAGGCCTACACATTGCATATGGTCGCTGCATCTTCTAAAGTCTCTCTAATCTAAGGCAGGCCTTCTTCTTCCTTCTTCCTTCTTCCTTCTTCCTTCTTCCTTCTTCCTTCTTCCTTCTTCCTTCTTCCTTCTTCCTTCTTCCTTCTTCCTTCTTCCTTCTTCCTTCTTCTTCTTCTTCTTCTTCCTTCTTCTTCTTCCTTATAAATTGTGCCTCTCCCCCACATTCTTTTTAAAAAATATATATATATTATTGATTTTTTACAGAGAGGAAGGGAGAGGGATAGAGAGTTAGAAACGTCGATGAGAGAGAAACATCAATCAGCTGCCTCCTGCACACCCCCCACTGGGGATGTGCCCACAACCCAGGTACATGCCCTTGATTGGAATCGAACCTGGGACCTTTCAGTCCGCAGGCCGACGCTCTATCCACTGAGCCAAACTGGTCAGGGCCCCCATATTCTTTACAATGGAAGTGAGGTCTAAAAGTGTGACTGGAGTTGGAGAAATCTCTCTGGCAAGGACCCTTCACAGGTGTGCTGTGCACTCCTATCGCGTCATAGAGGGAGCGCGCACTGTGTGGTCCTCCTGCTGGTGGTGGTGAGATTGATCATAGGTTCACGGGGAGTCACGGGGACTTGTCCTGTTCCCGGCTCCTTCACACGCAAAGCGATCTCAAGAACGCGGAGGGCTGTGCTTTCCGAGCTACTGGGCTGTGGAATCCTTCCTTCTATATGGCTGAGTCTTGTCATCAGACTAGTCAAGAGTAGACAAGGGCCAGGGCAGCAGTGGGTTCAGAGGGTTCTTTGAGCTCTCCAGGAAGGAATTCAGAAAGTACTTGAGTTTTCCCCCAGAGGCTCCTGGAAGGGAGGAGGGAACATGGAACCTGCCATGGTTTTTTTTTTGCTCTTAGAGCGATTAAAGGGTTTTAGAGCCAAGAGATACATCAGAGGTGACGTTAGATAAGACACTGCTGAGTGATAGAGAGAGCACTGGACTTGGAGTCAGAGGTCCTGGATTCAAGACTCAGGTTTCTCCACTTGTTGGGGTACCTTGGGCAACATTGGCTCTTTGAATTATGCTGTTTCTAGAGTCTAGAATGGTGGCCTTGTGATCTGGGGAGTGCCGAGTCTGTCCATTGGGGTGTCCTTTGCTGATGCGTAATAACAGGAGCTCCTTGGTATATTGATGAGGCGCCGATCCAGCTATGTTTGGACTAGTGCAGCAATAAGGCTACATTAAAGAGAAATGAGGAGTATGGGCTTTCAGGTCATAAAAAGTTAATCTCACTGATCCTCAGGTTTATCACCTCAAAGTGGGGTTCTGATCCCCGCCTATGGTATAGGGTGGGAAAGCATGTTTAAAGTGAGAAATGTAAGGGGCTCTTACCATTGAGTCCAGTTCTTGAGGCAGGTGCTTCTCCCACTCTGTTGACCCTCCCTCGGAGCCTTGGGTGGAGTCTGTTGTGTATAAGTCTGGACCGAAAGGCCCCCTGTGCGTTTTGTTTAGCTGCAGAACAAAGGACTGAAAGATTACTGCTTTGACTATAACCCTCCCAGCGAACACGACCTCACGGGACACCAGGTCCTCCTGTACCTCTGCCACGGGATGGGCCAGAACCAGGTACGTGCTGTTCTCTGTGGCCTGTTCGTCTCCTGCGGGGGCAGCGCAGTGGGAGGCTCGGTGCTCAAGGGGTCCTCGGTGTGAGCCTCTGACGGGGAAAACGAGGGGAAATTATGTGCTTTTAAAACATTACGTGTTCACTATTTTTTTCATTATAAAAGTAATATATATACTCACTACAGAGCATCTGGGAAGTATAAAAAGTAGAAGTGAACAGAGAATGACAGGACGCAGAGCAACCACCACAATGATTAAGACATATTTACTTCCCCTCTTTTTGTATGTGTTTTACATGGTGGTTTTCATATGTCTATATGTTTTCCCTCTGCGTTTCCATGATCTTGATCATACGTGTGTTATTAGACATCCTTTGAGAAGACCATTCCTACGGCCTCTGACAGGTCTTTGTGTGGCTATATTACTGTTTACTAACGATTCCCTGCCTCCCTGATTTTTGCGATTATAGATAATCTTGCCACTAACATCTTTGGTCAGTAAAAAAGGAAGGAAAAAAACCCCAGCAGATCTGCATTTTGGATGACTTCCTTATCATTAGCTGTTAAACAGAATTGCAGGTTTTGATGCCGAGTGCCACCCTGCAAAGCAGTGTCCAGGGCAGTCACCTCAGCTGGGCACCGGGGCAGACCTGAGTTAAGTGCTGTCCTTCAGGCCGGGCAGGGAGCATGTCTGGAGGGTCTAAGGACCAGGACAGGACCCCGGCCCAGGAAAGCAGATGGACCCACCAGGCCGGGGCCAGCAGAGGAGGCAGGAGAGCCGCAAAGCGTTGGTTCCAGACCTCAAAGCCCGCTGTCCTCAGAGTTGGCAGATACTGGAGACGAAGGGGTGGGGTTCAGGTTTTCTTCCACCTGGAGGTCCTGCAATTCCTTATGACTGTCAAGCCCCCTTATGGTCAACAGTAAACTTTCATAACTCAACCCCTGCAAACTTAAGTTACTCAGGTTCTCCAGCACTTTTTAGAACAGTGCTCAAAGGTGGGCCTCCGACGGCACCAGCAGCGTTCCCCGAGAGCTTAGAAATGCAAACTCTCGGACCCACCCTGTCCCTCTGGAACCCCAGCCGCTTGTTTTAACCAGCTTTCTGGGAGATCCTTTTGAGAGGCAATGCCCCACGTGCCTTCAGGATAGCCACCTGTGTCCAAATCTCCCGGAAGGGCGGGGTGGTGCAGGGCAGGCAGGAGGCTGAGTGTCTTGTTAAAAATGTCAAAATGCAGCTTCCTAGGCCCTCCTCAGACGGAAGGGCCCTCAGTCCCTCTCGGGGATGGGGCCACAGCCTCGCACGCGGCTCTTTCCCGGGCACTCTAGAGGAGGAAGCCATCGCTCTGGAAGAACCAAGTCTTCCCACTGGCAGTCACATTGTCGGCTTGCGCACAGCACTTGATAGTTTCCAAGGCACCGTTGCACTCATTGTATCTCCAAGGGAGGAGGACGAGAGGATTGAAGGAAAGGAGAGGAAATGGCTAGTCCAGGCGGCGGAGCCCCAAGTGCTGGCACTGGGACGCATCCATTGTCTTTCCTGCTGTTCCCCACCTGCATGGGGACCAGTCCCGCACTCGCTATCTAACAAGCAAGGGAACATGAGAAAGGCCCCTCCTTTCACACTTGCTGAGCTCCACACCACGTCCTGAAATGCTGGGGGGACGCGCAGGAGGCTGACTGATCAGACAGGCTAGTGTCAGCAGGCGAGGGGAGAGCGAGGGACCCCGACTCCCACGCTCTCGTGACCCCTGTTTCTCATCCAGCAATTCCTCTTTCCACGTCAGAGGGTAACTGACGCCTGTTGGCTGCTCTGTTTTTAGTTTTTCGAGCACACGTCCCAAAATGAAATTCGCTATAACACCCACCAGCCAGAGGCCTGCATCGCTGTGGAGGCAGGAACAGATATCCTCATCATGCACCTCTGCCAGGACACGGCCCCGGAGAACCAGAAGTTCATCCTGCAGGAGGTGAGTGAGCGGTCGCATTCCTTCCTCTGTGGGCTGCGGAGGGGAGCGTGGAGGCACAGGGATGCCGCCATGTATAGGAGAAGGTCGCAGTGACCCTGAGTCCCTGGCCGCACTGCTGGATCCCAGGGTCCAGTGTCAGCCGCTTTCCTTTTCCCCTCACTGACAACTCCTCTCAGTCCCCTTCTCCCCCCCCCCCCTCCCACCTTCCACCTTGAGCTGCAGCCGCAGAAATGGGAAGAGGACCTGCCGCAGATGGATTAGAAGGAAATGGGATCTAAACAAGTGAAACAGATCACCAGCGTGTAAGGATGGGAGGTTAGATGGAGGTATAAGTCACTCCTTCTCCAAGCCTCCTTTTCGCAGCTTTAAAGTGTGGGCAGTCATAGTTTCCTCGTCTTAACTCTCGCGAGGATTAGATGTATGGCTAGGAATATTTGGGAACTAGGAAGCTCTTTCAAGATTAGTCGTTACTGTCAGCAGAATAACCAAGAAGAGATCTCTCTGAGGGAGTTGGCTCTCCATCAGAATAGCCGTTGAGTTGGAATTGGGTGTTATTTCAAGCATGAAGGGCACTAGCTCCACTATGTTCACGGTCAGCCCGTGATGCGACTCATAAATCAGTCATATCCTTTGACTCACAAAGAGGGCACTTGAGGGAATAAAACCAAAGAAAATAATTCAGAAGAAAAATTAGTTCCCTTTATCTCCGTGGGAAGCTGTCATTCCCAGACTGGCCCCAGGGATGGAAAGGGTCATCTAGACTGCTTATAAATAGGATAATTCCAAGTAGGATTAGAAGCTGGAGTACTTTTTCCTGCAGAAAATGTTATGATTAGCAATGTAATTTGCAGGCTCCGTGGAAAAGCCAGGCACCATAGTGTTGTCTACCTGATATAAAAAAATGAGGGGGATATTTCTGCAAACCCCAAGAGTCTGTGACCCTCTGCAATGCCCTCCCCCTTCTCTTCTTTCTTTCACTGGAAGCCATTGTAAGCCCTCAAAGAACAGTAATGCAAGATAGAGGCTACAAAATTGGTTTGAAATGTTATCTTAAATTTCTTTTTTAAAAATTAAAAACATTTAAAAAATTATTTCAGCGAGAGGAAGAGAGGGATAGAAACATCAATGAGTAGAGAGAATCATTGATTGGCTGCCTCTTGCACACTCCACACTGGGGATCAAGCCCACAACCCGGGCATATACCCTGTCCAGGAATGGAACCGTGATCTCCTGGTTCATGGGTCAACGCTCAACCACTAAGCAACACCAGCCGGACTATCTTAAAGTTCAGTGACCATTTAAGGAAAAGTCTATTCAGAAGGGTGGGAGGAGGGGTGCTTTACTTAATTCCAGGCATATCTCAGAGATATTGCGGGTTCTGTTCCAGACTACTGCAATAAAACAAGTATTGCAATAACGCGAGCCACGTTAATTTTTTTGGTTTCCCGGTACATAAAAAAGTTATATTTACACTATACTGTAGTCTCTTAAGTGTGTAATAATAGCATATGTTTAAAAAACAATAATTAAAAATACTTCATTGCTAAAAGATGCTCACTATCTTCTGAGCCTTCAAAGTCATAATAATTTTGCTGGTGGAGGGTCTTACCTTCAATTTGTAAAAAAAAAAAAGCATTATCTGCAAAGTGCAATACAAGGATGTGTAATAAAATGAGGTAGCCCTGTGTTTACTTTCACATTATTCTAAAGGCAATTTATGAGCACTTTAAAAGGTTCTCGTGGTTAATATTTTTGAGATTCCTTTGCATCTAATTTTATTACCAAGGCTTCTCTTGCCCTGGACCAGGTTATGTCACTGTTCTGCCCGTTGGTCGCCAGGCCATGATTAAGTTCCTTGGGGATGTACCGTTTACAATAGAAAGGGGGGTTAGGGGGAGGAAAACTCCAGGACCTGGGGAGAGATTTGCTGAGTTAACTCAGCAACAGTTTGGAAAAAGAAGAGGGAGGCATTAAAGAGGATCATCGTCTTTGGGAGTTTGGGAATTGACACAGTCTGTGGAACCCGCTTTCTCTCTGCTGACTTGCTCCCCTCCCTCAGCTGGTCTGTAGCTGAGCTGGGACTAAAGCCAAGTTTCCTGACTCTCCATTTATTTATTTTATTTTTATTTATTTATTTATTTTTTAAATGTATTTTTATTGATTTCAGAGTGGAAGGGAGAGGGATAGAGAGATAGAAACATCAATGATGAGAGAGACTCATTGATCGGTTGCCTCCTGCATGCTCCCTACTGGGGATCGAGCCCACAACCCAGGCATGTGCCCTTGACTGGAATCGAACCTGGGACCCTTCAGTCCGCAGGCCGGTGCTCTATCCACTGAGCCAAACCAGCTAGGGCGACTCTCCATTTAAATACATAAGAGAAAGAGATCTCCAGGGATGGAATTAGTTGACCTAAGTGGAAGAGATTCATAAAGAGTCTTTCTTTGGTCCTGATTTCCCTGAAGGAAAAGAAAATTTGTCCAGCTGAGATATAGGATCTGGCAGGTCCCAAGAGCAGCCAGCAGGTGGCACCATTGGCCCTGACAGCGGAGTCTGGGACCCCGTGAACTGCTCCTGTGAAAGGCTAGCATGACACATGCTGTACATACCTAGCCCTCTCTCTGCACAGACGGGCCTGGATTGCCTTTCCACATGCAGACACTTACTGCTCAATAGATTTTTCTTAAACGATCAAAGTTGCCCTGAGCACAACACATTTTAAGGAAAAAGGTACTTTCTGAGAAATGCTTATAATTCTCTTGAACGTCCGTTGTCTATGATCTTTTGTAGGACGGTTCTTTATTTCACATACAGTCCAAGAAATGTGTTCAGGCTGAGAAGAAGGCACTCAGCAACAGTTTCGTACCGCTCTTACGAGACTGCACCAACTCGGAACATCAGAAATGGTTCTTTAAAGAACGCATGTCATAAAGTGTCGCTGCACCACGGAGACCACATGGGAGAGGGGGCCCTGGACGTAGCCCAAAAGACTTCGCCTCGTGCAGTGACAGGCCCACCCAAAACTTGGCTGCTCTGTTTTATAAGGAAATCACTGTGCAATTTGTGAAAGCGATGTGGTAAGAATGTGAATAAGCTTTGTACTGTTTTTTGAAAACTTTAAAATTGTTCCCAAATACCTGGTTTTCAAAGGGTAATCATAAAATGTTAATTCTTGGTAGTCAGAGAATTAAAAGCCTTCAAATATTTTTCTATCAAGATCGGTTGTGCCTTTTTATTCCCTTGGCAAAAAAAGTAAATGTTTTACTCTGGTATTTACAAGGATTTCCAGGTATGAAGATGTGTGCACGTGTTGAAGTTAGACTCGTGTAATGTACTTTGCATAAACTGATAATACTTCAGATGTTGGTTTCGATTTTTCTCACTGTGGACAGATGGACAGTGGTAACATTCTGCTGATTCCTTCAGAGCATTGAGATAACATAGATTTATTTAATAAAGAGTGCTACTTGGTTATGTATTGTTGCCAGAGACAAACCTCCAGTTAAAAATTATGTTAGCCAAAGAAGACTAACCAAAGCTGAAATCTCAAAGGAATAACTTGATATCCTGGGCTAATAAAAACTTCCACCACACGGGTGGACTTCCAACAATGCATAGCTGTTGTGTGGCTGGCTACTTTTAGCAGTTACCACTAGGACTTTAAAACATATTTATGTCATTTTTAAATTTTTATCACATTAGTGTGAGGGAGAAATTTGATATTCTCTATGAAATTCAGTTTTCAGGCTTGTTCATTAATACTATTTGGTCATTTAAAATCGTTTTGTGCTGCCACGGCTGCTGTGAAAGTTTCTCAGTAATTCTGGTTCATGCAAGATCTCAGATCTGCCCTAACCCGTTTGACTCAGTGGATAGAGCATCGGCCTGTGGACTGAAGGGTCCCAGGTTCGATTCCGGCCAAGGGCATGTACCTTGGTTGCGGGCACATCCCCAGTAGCCGGTGTGCAGGAGGCAGCTGATCAATGTTTCTCTCTCATCGATGTTTCTAACTCTCTATCCCTCTCCCTTCCTCTCTGTAAAAAATCAATAAAATATATTTTTTAAAAAAAGATCTCAGATCTACTTCTAAGATCTTGTCAATGTGATGAAGTCAATGTGAATGCTTTAACAAAGGGATGAGAGCATTGCAGATCTTTGTTCTTACAGCCAATCAGATGTGAGAGACGAAGACGCATGTGCAATGGATTAAAAAGTCTCAACTTGTGTCTCAGGCTCTTTTTTATTCAGATTCCCCTCTCTGAGGGTTCCAGTTTAACACTTACCCAGAAACTACTCCAGCTGACCTGGCTTGGGCCAAGCTGATGTCCTTTAACCACTTTGAACTTTAGTGTCTTTACCTGTAAAATGGGAATAATGAAATCAAGCTCATGGGGTAGGTTTTAGGATTAAATGACATAGAGCAGGTGATGGCTTAGCTGAGTCCCTGGCATACAGAATGGGTTTGTTAAAAATCTGTTTTCATAAGTTTGCTTTATAAAATATGAAACTTAATAAACTTCCATAGGTGTTGATTCAAAAATAAATATTAAATAATTTAGTTATTCTGTCTTTATGAGATTAAGTAGCTCCTGAGCAGGCAGGAACAGGGTATGAGCCCCTTCCGCCACAGTTCAGTTCTCTCCCAAAGGCAAGGCGCTAGGGGGTCGAGGCTTTCCCTCCCCATCCTGGTGACCTGTTAAGCAGGTGAGATGCCCCGCTCAACCCGTAATGGAGGTGAGAGTCCTGCCTGCCTCCTCCTGCTCTACCTGCACGGTCAGTCTGGGCTCCAAGAAGGGGTGCCCGCCCCTCGAGGGTGTGGGAAGGCAGTTCAGCAGACAGAAGATTAAAGCTGCCCAAGTCCACAATGAGTGCAGGGGGCCACAGGTGCACTCCTGTGGGCGTTCACGGGGCATCACAGTAAGTAACCTTTGTGTGGGAAGTCATCTGTCTTACTCCTGCCACCAGTACATTTGCAGTACTTTTTAGGGTAGAAAAACCAATAAAAAAAATTGGAGAAATGTCAAGGGATATATTTTTAGAGACTGGGAGGCAATTTACAATACTCTGAGGAAGCTTTCCCTTCCCTGATGGCTGAGGAGTCCGGCCCGCAGGTCCCCACCTGCCCCACTGGAAGGTGTGAACTGGCCTGCAGCTCTGGTCATCAGTGTGATTATTACAACAATAACAATGTCGACAATGCAGGTGCATTTGAAAGTCAGGTTCAGGGATGCCCCTCCCTGTCATCAGATGCCTGCTTCCTGTTTGAGAAGGTTCCTTTTTGAAAACTTGTATAAAGCTCCTTCCACAGCAATTGGGAAGGGTTTGTTTATTTATATGGCTCAATTCTGGACTTCTTTATGGGTTGAGTTTATGTTAAAGCTTAAATTTCCCACACTAACTGGCTCCCCTTTTCTATTAAAGCAGGGCTCTTCACACTTGAATGTGTATGGAATCACCGGGCGTCTTGTTATAAGGCGGATTCAGGTCCAGTAGGTCTGAGTGGGGACTGAGATTCTGCTTTTCTCACAAGCTCCCCTATGGTACCATTGCTGCTGGTCTATGGACCATATTTTGAGCAGCAAGATATTCAAGGGAGAGAAGAAATTTCCCTGTTGGCTGGTTGCCAGTGTCTTACTCCCCCGCCCCGCCCCCACCCAAACACACACCAGATGATGTTGTCCCCCCAGGAAATGTGACAATGCTATAGTTGAGGCCAAGTCTATTGGTCTAAAACAGTGGTTCTCAACCTGTGGGTTGCGACACCTTTGGGTCGCCTAAGACCATCGGAAAACACATATATAATTACATATTGTTTTTTGTGATTAATCACTATGCTTTAATTATGTTCAATTTGTGACAGTGAAAATACATCCTGCATATCAGATATTTACATGACGATTCATAACAGTAGCAAAATTACAGTTATGAAGTAGCAACAAAAATAATTTTATGGTTGGGGGTCACCACAACATGAGGAACTGTATTAAAGGGTTGCAGCATTAGGAAGGTTGAGAACCACTGGTCTAAAATATTCTCCAAATCACAGGTCCACAGGGTGCAGACCTGGAAGTCCCCAGAGATCACCCTGTGTCCAGTGTAGCTGATGGGCGGGGGGTGGACTGAGGCCGATAAGGGAGGAGTTTGCTGGAGATCCCACAGCAAGTTGGGGACATGTTCTTTGGCAATCCCTGTCATCCCATTTAGTAATCAGTGTTCTCAATTTGGCCTGAGTGTGATATTTTTCTTAAAGTGTTAATTGATACTCTTTTAAAAAATTGTCTCTTAAAAAATTGACTCTGTGACCTGGCTGGTGTGCTCAGTGGTTACACCATGGCCTTTCGTACTAAAGGGTTGCAGGTTCAATTCCCAGTCAAGGGCACATACCTAAGTTGCAGGTTTGATCCCCAGCCTCAGTCTGGGCATGCATGGGAGACAACCAATTGATGTGTCTCTCACATCAGTATTTCTCTCTCTCTCTCCCTCTCTTCTTCCCTTCCACTCTCTATAAAAATCAATGGAAAAACATATCCTTGGGCAAGGATTAAAGAAAACATACACACACAAAAATTGACTTTGTTATATTGTATTAAATTATCAAATAAAATTAGTTACCTACCTTAATAAAAAGTTCTAAAGACCATGCCACATGGTTTGTATCATAGCCACAGTGATTATTTAACATGTTGGGTTAGAAACACTGTCCTCTTAACAGCCTCCTAATGTTTGTGAGATTTAATGTACTACACACCACATTTCTCACATTTATATGCAACTTTAGAGTTTTGTTTTCAAGGGTATCGTTCGAGCCTATTAGGGTGAGAATTACTGGGTCCTGTTTGAAGCTGCCGATAATCCTAACCCTAATCACTCCATGAGTTGGGCACTGCTCTAAGCATTTCATATAAGTGAGCTAATTTAAATCTCAAATGCAGTAATTTAATTCTCAAAGATGAAGCTCAGAGAGGGTAGGGTAACACAGCTAACCAGAGGTAGGGCTGGGATTTGAATCCAGATAGTCTGACTCCAGCATTAAAGCTGCTGCATTTAACCAAAGGTCAAGACTCTAGAGCAGCCGTGGGCAAACTACGGCCCGCAGGCCGGATCCGGCCCTTTGAAAAGAATAAAACTAAAAAAAAAAAAAAGACCGTACCCTTTTATGTAATGATGTTTACTTTGAATTTATATTAGTTCACACAAACACTCCATCCATGCTTTTGTTCCGGCCCTCCGGTCCAGTTTAAGAACCCATTGTGGCCTCGAGTCAAAAAGTTTGCCCACCCCTGATCTAGAGCTCACTGCAGGGGAGGCGACCAGCCCAAGTCACACAGGTTATACACCCTGACCCTGGCCCCTCCCCTCATTCTTAGTCCAGTTACACCACACTGTCAGTTATGACATGAGGATTAGTGAGCCTGTCCAGCTTGGAGAGCACAGGAGGTCCCAGCGGATTCACACATCTGGGCAAGCGCATTTCTATCAGCAGTGCCAAGTCAGGGAGCAGTACGGGGACAGCCCCTGGGGGTTCAGACCTGCTCCTTTGGTGCAGTTGTCCCCGTACAATTCCATGTTGCCCTTGCCCACACTTTGCCCTCTTTCTCACAATTTAGAGGGTGTTTCTTCAATTTCCCTTTGGAGATTCTTGCTGTGAAGCCAAGGAGGCTCACAGTCCATGGCCACATAACTGTAGTTGCTCCATCCAGCACTTACTCATCTTCAGCGTGCTTCCACCACTTGGGGCTGAGAATGCTATCCCATCTGCCATGTCATGATTCCTCTGTGAATCATCTCGAACCTTCTTTTGCAAGGCAAGGGTCAATGGAACTGATGGTTCATCATAATGTGAGCTGGTTATTTCAGCATCCTGAGAAGAAATGGCCTGATGGGTGTGCCTATGGGGCAGTTATTAACTCGGGAGTGATTGCAAAGCCCCACTGGGCTCTAATTGCCAGCTGTTATAAAAGGAAGCAAATGACCGGGTTGTAGAATGTTGAGGGACTTTAGAAGTCATGTATTCAACTCCCTGCTCATGCAGGAATCCCTCCTGGTCCCCAGGGCATGGTTGGCTGCCCCTGGCTTGTCCACTGCCAGTGGGGGCTGCTCCTCCCTTCCCAGGCCATTCTGTTCTGTTCTGTCTTTGGATGGCTTTGTACAAAGCTCAACCGTCTACCTGGAGCTTCCCTTACTGCTCTAGATCCCCCTTGGAGGAGTCAACAGGGAGGTTGTGCATGGAATCCTCTCTGCACCAGGCTAGCCAGCCCTCGGTCCTTCAACCGTCCTCATGGGATGTGGTTTTCACTGGATTTCTGGGAGGGAATATGAGATAGATGTTTACATTAAATCTCTGTTTAAGCAAAGGTCAACACTCTATTCTCCATCCCTGCAGAGAGTTTAGGCTGCTCAGATTACCCCCGATGCTCTGGGAGCAGTAAAAGGACATTAGTAGGCTGTGGGGTGGGGAGGGGCAGTGTGTGTGTGTGTGACAGCAAGAGCGAGAAGGTGTAAGTGAACCTTCATCTTCCATAATAGGAAGTCTATAATAATAGTCTAACACTGAAATGTCATGAGAAAGCAGGGCTAATGTTATTTGAAATACGGAGGCAAATTCTGGAAGAACT